ATGGCTGTATACAATACAATAAATCCATGAAGTCAATGACAAGTGGACTGAGTCATGTTGGTATATGTAGGCTACCTGGTTGGGGTCCGCGAGACGATAAGTCTCCGATGGTTAGAGACCTTGAACAACATGGCGCAGGTGCATCCACTCTTTGTGTTCTATGAAATTCTAACCTTCTGTATTCCTCATAATCTCTATCTTTCTCCTTCTGAATTTATCTTACTGAATTATACACTTCTCGAATCATATCTTCGCTCCCTGATCTTCTCCATTACTGCTAATACTTTCACTATCGCGATCACTCATGGATTTGAACTGACAATTAATTGCGTCTCTGCGATGATGTGGTATGGCGACCTGGACTGATGTACTTACGTATGAAGTTCTGCGTTGTATCTGTTTGTCTGATACAACAAACATTGTATCATTAAGAAATTTATACAATTACTTTATAAATTGTTTGTTTACAGAAAAATATATGTATATATATCACAAGAGAATACATCGATGAGTTGCTTGACGAAAGGTATTATTATTATTATTTTTACAATAAAAAAAAATGACGAAATTGTAAACAAATATTTACAACTATGAATGTGGATTGTTGATTTTCTCTAAATATGGTAGTAAAGTAACCACACTTGGATAATGATTGTGCTCGGCTTTCCATGGTAGTTTAGTGTAATATGTTTCACTGAAATCATAGATATTGTTTTTTTTGAGAGGAAGAGAAGATTTTTTTAAAAAAACAGTGCAATTTATTTAGTAAGGTAAAAAAATATATATATCAAGTAACATAGTATTGTATAATTTTGGGTCTATATACACATAGTTTAGATAATATCTGGATACACCTCTGTATTCATTTTATAACCGAACACCTAACCCTTTAATGAACCATTTCACATGCATGACTACACATACTCATGTAATTATATCACCAAAAATCAGTGATGCAAACAACTAAAGTACGCGAAACGTTATTTCAGGTCTCTAGTGATAGGGAGTGAAATAGTTGAGCATGTAGACCGCTTCACTAATCTGGGGGATCTCAGAACGCATAAAGAAAGCTCGATTGGCTTTTGCCAGGAGTAGACCTTCTACCAGGTGGCTCGCTTATTGACTTAGAATATGTCGATGACATAGTCCTACTTGGTGAAGACGCTGACAAAATGCAGAGTCTTCTGACTACCCTAAGCAACAATGCAAGCATGTTCGGGATGCGGTTCTCACCCTCGAAATGCAAAGTGTTGCTTCAAGATTGGGTTGCATCGGCACCTGAACTAGTGATAGCGAGTGAAGTAGTCGAACGTGTAGACCGCTTCACGTATTTGGGGAGTCTCATCAGTGTTGACGGCCTGGTGACTGACGAAATCTTAGCACGGAAACAGAAGGCTCGATTTGCTTTTGCCAACCTGCGTCACCCATGGTGAAGACGAGATATCCGTTTGCTAACTAAAGGACGAGTGTACTGATCAGTGGTTCGCTCCGTCCTACTTTATGGCTGTGAAACATGGCCAGTGAGAGTAGAAGATATTCGTAGGTTACTTTTTTTCGATCATCAGTGCCTCCGAAGCATTGCTTGAGTATCGTTGGACAACCAAGTAAGCAATTTTGTTGTTAGGTAACGAGTGTTAGTTAAGAATGCCAGGACAATAGATGAAGTAGTGAAAACTCATCAGTTGAGGTGGTTCGGACATGTATTATGTAGGCCTAACCGCCTACAGTCTCGTCAGGCTATGTTTCGTGATGTAGGAATAGGTTGGACGAAAGCTAGGGGCGGCCAAACCAAAACATGGCAGAAATCCATTCGTTTGAATTTTCAGGAGTTCATCTTCTACCAATAGACTCACTTGTTGTCTTAGAAAGTGCCAATGACATAATTCTATACGATGAAGACGCTGAAGAAATTCAGAGCATTCTAACCACGTTAGGCAACAACGAAACCATTTTCAGCATGCGATTCTTACCCTGTAAAAGCGAAATCTCGCTTCAGGATTGGTTTGCGTTGGTACATACGCGAAGTAGTAGAGGTTGTAGACCACCTCACTTACTTTGGAAGTCTCATACGTACTGATAACCTGGTGTGCAAAGTATTCTCAGCACGGATTCGGAAGCATCGAATGGCGTTGGTCAACTTTCGTCATATATATCGTAAGCGCAATAACCGTCCACCGGACAAAAGACAGGTTTACTGCGCAGCAGCTGACTCCGTCCCACTTCAAAGCTATGAAGCGGGGCCAGTAATATTCGAGGATATTCGAAGGCTACTAGTATTCGACCACAGATTCCTTGGATTCATTGCTCGAATATTCTAGGACAATCGACTAAGCACAATACAGTACTTAGGATGCCGGTAACAATTAAGATGGCAAATCAATAGATGAAGAACTGAATCTACATCTGTTGAGATAGTTGGAACACCGGCTGCTACGACAACCGATGATTTGTAGTGTAGGAGTAGATGGAAGAAAACCGGAATCCGATAAAGCAAAATATGGCACAAATACATCATGTCACTGACAGTTGGACTGAGCCATGTTGGCTCCCAACCATAGTTTCCTTTATTACTGCTAATACTTTTGCTACATCTATTACCGGAGGATTTTAATCGACTACTACATCTCTTTGCTGATGTGATTTGACAACGGTACGTACAAAGTTCTACGTTGTTGCTTACTGACGGCACGTCTGTATATATTATCCATACCAATCAATATGTGGGTACAGTTATTGATGACCTATGGTTAAAACCAACTACATAATAGTAGGAATGTTAGGGTTTCAACATTCATTCAAGCAACCCGACATAATTCTAATGACTGACTCTTGGATTCCATATCCTCCATGGTCCAGCTGATGCAGATATGATCGATTTGGTTCTGCGTAGTATGATCCGGTGAAATCCATGTGGCTTTATGTATGTTTATGTGCGAGAATATGATGCCACCTAAGACCAGTTTGTTGAAGGCACATACATTTGCAAATCTCTCATCATTTTCATTCATATCGTCCGACAATGTCTTTATATCCAGCTTTGTTCATGCTCACATTGGCATTTCAGTCTCCAATCCGAATTGTCAAATCCATTAAGGAACATCACTTAACGATTGACAGCAACCTCTCGTAGAATTGATTTTTAGTAGCACAGAATGACGCTAATTGTAGTGCCTTTTTTTATCTGTTTTATCCTATCGTTTGATGTCCAATATATTACTTAAAAAATGGACACCGATATAAATAACTATTGAATCAGTAAGTAATTGATTAAAACATTCAACTTTCAACTATTAGGTTGACAATTCAATTCACTTATTTTCACCTTTGACCATACAAATAACATGATAATATTAAGCTAAACTAATCATTTATAACAAGAAAAATGCACTCACGTGAATGACAGATGTTCACTTTCAGGCAAATCAAAAGTAGATTCCGATTTTAATCGATTAAAGTAGTACAATTTTC